GGGGCCAAAGAGGATGGGGTTGGGCTGGTGTAGGTGTTGGGGCAGGGGAGGAGGGTAGGCTTTCCTGGGCTGGGGCTATTGGGCCAGAGGGGGGGGCTACTGGACCAGGGGGTGGGGCTAGAGCAGGGGGGTCCTGACCTGTGCCCCGCCCCCAGGGGCTCCCAACACGGCGGAGTTGAAGATCTGCCGGGTGAATCGTAACTCCGGGAGCTGCCGGGGGGGCGAGGAGATCTTCCTGCTCTGCGACAAGGTGCAGAAGGGTGAGTCGCCCCGGAAGCCTGGACTCCCCCCGGCGCGGGGAGGGGAGTGGGGCTGAGCAGGCGCGGTGCGCCGGGTCCCCTGGGTTCTCTGGAGGGGGACGGAGGCCTGGGGCTGAGAGGGGCTCTGTGAGCCTGGGGGTTCCCGCCCTCACTCCTTCCCCCCTCCAGAGGACATCGAGGTGCGGTTCTTCCGGGACACGTGGGAGGCGCGCGGCTCCTTCTCGCAGGCCGACGTGCACCGCCAGGTCGCCATCGTGTTCAAGACGCCGCCCTACGCCGACCAGGCGCTGCGCGAGCCCGTCACAGTGCACATGCAGCTGCGGCGCCCGTCCGACCGCGAGGTCAGCGAGGCGATGGAGTTCCGCTACCTGCCCGAGGAAGGTACCGTGGGGCAAGGGGGCGTTACGTGGAGAGCCCAGAGCTGGCTGCACCGGGGGGGCCCCTGCTCCGGGCCCGATCCTGGCCTGGGGTGTCTGCTCTGGGGCGGCCCCCTAAACGCCCTCCCCGCCCCAGGTGACTTCCACTGCATCGAGGAGAAGCGGAAGCGAACCCGCGACACCTTCAAGAGTTTTGTGCAGAAGACCCCCTTTGCAGGTGGGTGGGGCTTGGGGAAAGGGGAGGGGCTTCTCCCTGGAGCAGGGTGTAGAAAGGGAAGGAGTCCGGGTGGGGGGCTTCTGCCTGGGGGTGGGACTGGGGGGGAAGGGGAGTGGCACTTGGGGGGGGGCGGGGCTTGGGAAAGGGGAGGAACTCCTGGCTAGAGGCAGGGCTTGGGGAAAGGGAAGGGGTTCCTTGCCAGGGGCTGGGTTTAGGGAAAGGGGTGGAGTCCCTGGGGGCTGGGTTTAGGGAAAGGGGAGGGACTCCTGGATGAGGGGGTGGGGCTAAGGAAAGGGGTGGAGTCCCTGGGGGTGGGGCTTAGGTGGGGGAGGTACCTGGCGGAGGGGTGGGGCTGAGGTGGGGGGGTACCTGGGTGGGGGTGGGGCT